GAACAATGAGCCCTTGGACTGTTGGACTGTTGGAATATTTCTCCACCAGATAGCGATTTATTAAGTGCATAGCACTATCCAGCGTTTAAACTAACCAGGGTATCAGTTTTATCTACCAGACCTTCAGTTGGGAAAACTCACTGGGGTAAAAATGTTAACGCGTCTCAGCCCCCATAAAAAAAGGTTATTGCATTTGTATATCAGACTATATTGTGAAAGTTTTGAACGCAGGATCAGTCATACTCAACCTACTTACATATTGTATATTCACGACTGAATGAACCTTGACGACGGATACTCCCATATACATTTTTCCCGCTAACGGGCCTTTGCTACGGAAGGGCCGGAACATACACTTTTAAAATTCCTCGTAAGTCAAATGGTCTCACAGTTTGTGCGGAACCATGTGGAAATATCTCATGAATATCCGGTGTAACGTATTAAACAGATAGAATCTACTTTTAGGTCAAGGGTACAGTTTCTATTAAAAACATCATTGTAGTGTTATTTGATAGTTGAACATCGAGAGAGATGGGATATCTTTGGAGGAATATAGAAAACGATAAGATCACATTCAGTCTTCCCTTTCAGTAGGAGACATAGCTGTGAATTTTTAAGGTATATTTTGGCTTTTTTTATGGCTAACGGCAGAAGCTGGTTGAAAGTAAATATCTCTCCGCTGCCAGTAACAGATAATTAAGGAAATCGATTATTTAAAGCGGCTAAAATGTCTCAAAAGAATCGAAACAAGATTTTTAGAAGCAACCACAATGCATTCCAAAACCAAGGGAAGAAATTAACTGATATGTTGACAGTATTAACGAAAAAAGTCACTCTCCAAGTCCTCAGTAAAACACATTCAAACAAGCCGAACAAACAAAACAAATGAACCTCCACAAAGCCCGAATTCTGCAACAAGTTTAATTCCCAGCTACAGTATTCAAATTGTATTTGTTTACAAGTGAGTTTAACAAACTCTATGTCTATGATAAAATCTTGCAAAAGTAAGAAAGAAAAAAAAGGGAAAAAATTTATTTTGTTTTACTTGAACTCTACAGCTATACTCTAACAAATCCAGAAACGAATTCTTGAATGCAAAGTAATAAAACTTATTCCGAGCACATGCCTTAAAAACGGAAAGACTTTTTTCTTTTTTTCTCTTCGCCCTTTAAGCCTTTTATTTATTTGGCGGCCTTAACTGGAAACGGAGAATATCGAGCAGCAGCCTTCTCATACAGCACAACCTGGTTGTAATTATCTTTTTGCTCCAAAATCTCAATGCGATGGTCTATGTAGTGATATTTCGGCAACTGAATACCAGGCTTCTTAGCTCTGCAAAAAAGAAAAGAACTGAGATCAGCACAAAACAGTACTTCATAAGGTTCCGCGAACATGTATTTTAACCGAATACTAAAATTACAAGTTAACGGCTTAATTCCGATGTCTTGATGGAATTTTGTTGCTTATTCCTTATGTAGAATAACTAAATAGAGCACTTTGCAAAAATCAGGAGCAGTTAATTTGAAATGCAACATCAGTCTTTCCTCGAAATTTCTACTAAAGCCCATCACATCCAAGCATACAATTTAGGAATACACTGATCTGGCTGGATAGCCCTGATTATTACTGCATTTCTCCTTAGGATTGGACTAGTCTGGCCAGCCAGTTCTGACAAATGGTAAGCGCCCTAAGACAAAATGCACGCTCTGATTAGCTGCAGGCTTGTTTATTGGCACTGAGGGAATATGAAATTATAGTTGAAATGTCATACAAGATTTTGCTGCGTGGGCGATTATCCCTTATTTATAAGCACGTACCAATTGGAAAAGTTTTAGGAGATGGAAACTCGAGTAATCTAACTGTCTTATTTATCAATTTCCTCAACTGCTTAAGGACGATCTCTTAAACAAATTTGCGGCATCTTTTTTTTTTTTTTTTTTTGCTTAAGGTGGCGTGTTCAGAAGGGTACCCAACTCCAAACTGCCGTTTCCTGCAAGATATACTACTTTAAGGAGCACTGAATATTGCTTAGAAATATCGAAATGACCCGAAAGTTCCCTTTAGACATCTGAACACTAGATTCATAGTTGTATGGCAGCTCCAAATTAACCAAACAGACTTCTAAAGCAGAAAGAAATCCTTTTAAGACACTGATTTTTAGCAAGAAAAATTCGCACTTTGATAACATCTTTTTTTTGCAAAACAAGTGGTACATCAGTATGCAAGCACAAAAAACGTTTTCTATTGCTTGCGTTAGATTCATCAGAACACTTAAGACGTAAACACTTACTTGTAAGTGCTTTTGAAGTCACATCGATGATGGCTACCATCCTCAAGCAACAGGGCCATGTTAACATCACCCTTCAGTTCCCCACCACACATGTACATCATCTCAGTGGATGGCTCCCATTTCACAGTCTTCTTCTGCATAACTGGACCATTGGGAGGAAAGCCCATCCCATTGAAGACAATCTTATATTCAAAACAGCCCGCTTTCGGCAAGCTGATGAAAGAGGGGCGAGATTTACTAAGTGTGTGCGACAATGCGAAAGATACCAAAAACATTCTTAACAACTTATGTACTACTTAAATAAAACATAAAAATTTGTTGTTGTTGTTGTTGCTGTTTTTCCTTTTGTTTTCTTTTTACGAAGAGCCTTGCAATTCTAGTTGAAACATTTTTAAAACAAAGACACTATCCTGGCCAGTATGAGGCGAATCTTTGCTGACGTCATTGTTTACATTTTTCCACATTGTCATACAACTTAACCAGGGCGGATCGGGCGGATAAAGGTTGGGCGGTGAAACGAGCGCTCCGCTCTTCATTTAATGTGTGATGCGGAGTAGGACTGGCACGAGCGCTCTTTCCGCGCTTCCGGTGCGCTTGAAGGCCGGCGAAATGTTCCTTTTTGCAAACCGGAAATCCTATTTTTTTTTTCTGTGATTCCAGGCTACAATGTTAAATGGATAAATTCATTTCATAACAATATCAATAAACAGTTTCATATGTTTGTGTCGGTACGTCTATAAGTCAAACTTGTTGGTCGTATAATGCCAAAATTTGAGTTTAATTTGAAAGTGTTGAATACCTCCTTCTTCCAGTAATATCTGAATATCACCTAATCGTCTTTCCCCGTTTCGTTTGCAAAAGCTTAATACTTCTTAACCTCAATTTTTACATATGTTAAAGGGGAATAAATTTTATATAACATAACAAAAAATTAGATAGATATATATTGATATAGTGGCGTTGTACTTCTTCAAACTTTGCTTCTCGGGTGCAACACTCCATGGCGATTGGCGCAATGCGTTACAAATCCGGCAACCGCATGTAAACAAAATTTATTGAGGTTAGTTGTAAGGTTTTTTCTCCGTTTTTCTCTCTAAAACAAAACAAGATAAACGATAAAAACTAAGGGGGAAACTAATTTTGAAGTTTCGAAGAAACAGAAAGACGTATGAGATGCTTTTTTCAAAATTAAAAAGAAGGATGATGGTGATTGAAATTAGCATAATTTCACCTTGCACGAGCTGCACGCAGTTATAAAATACACGTCATCTAGTTATGAAACACGATCTGCTGCCTTTTAGTTTTGCCACGGATGAGATTTTCCTTCGTGCTTTAGACAGTACTTAGTTGTTTCTGTTTTGGAATAACATCGACAATGGCGAGTAGCAGAACGAAAATATAATTCAGTGGTAGAGTCATGGAAGTAATAAAAGAAACCCTTTGAAAGAGATGTTTATCTACTCCAACTAAACCTCCCGCAAAAATAGCAACATTTGCCTCTCGGAGACAGCGTACCAGCACAAAGGAGCGAGGAAGAAGTGCAAGATAACAAATCAAGCCGCCATAATTCAGTGACAGTGGCAGTGTCTAATGTACAAACCACATCGCAAGCCCTGACCGAGGTCGAAAACAAGGGACATTTCTAAGCAGAGTCCCAGTCCACTGCATCACACCTTTTTGCTCGGACGCGCTCGTTTCAGCGCCCAACCTTTATCCGCCCTGAACTTAACTCATAGAAGCCGTGGCCGTATATATTAATTAAATGCAAAAGTTGAAAGAGCTAATTAAGTTGGGCAATTTGTACAATTTTCAGTCCTTTGCAAGCAATATTGAAGGAAATGTCAGCCATCAAAAACTGCGAAATCGCTGTGTGGCAAAAACTTTAATGAGCCATGTCATTCTCTGTAAATTTCGAGTTTTTAGTAGAGGATTTCTCCGAAACCATTAGGTGTATTGGGCTCAAATTTTCAGAGATAACTGAAACTGTTATGCCCTTTCAATATTTAGAGTTTTTATGTTAGCATCACCAGATAGTGATAGGCATATGTTAATGAGGCAAAAAGTTTAAACAAAGATTCGCCTCAAAGCATGGAGGCGATAGGAAAGCTAAAAACAATAGTTTCAACTGGTCGAATCAACAATTTAGACCGCAAAAAAATCATATCAAAGCTAGATGAAAAAGGTGGAGGACCACAACGACGTAAAAGACTTAAGTACTAAGTACTGCATGTTTTAGAATTTACTAACCTGATGACGCTTTTAACTTCACATTTGGCGCCGTCTTCAAATTCCATGGTTCTTTCCCAGGAATACCCATCAGGAAAAGTCTGCTTGAAATAGTCTGGTATGTCTGGTGGGTATTGCGTAAATACCCTGTTGCCGTACTCGAACGCTGCTGTGAGAATATCGTAAGCGAAAGGAAGAGGTCCGCCATTTGTAACTGTAAGATTTATAGTTTGTACTCCCCTAAAAAAAGATGAACGACAAATCAAATCTGAAAGAAAATGTAGAATTTATATGCAACGCACATACGACCGCAATTTTGCCCACTTCGTATCAACGTCAAGTAAATCTTTATTTCGCTTTTGATAGGCCATAACTGAAAGGTTTTAAAACCATAAATTCCGGGAAAGTTCAGTTTCCCTGGTTATGTCGTGAACTTTCATTTATATCCTAAAACACTGTATTGTCTGAGTAAATGACTTTTTTTTTTTACAACTCAGTATTTCACACTGAGTCAGTCCTACTGCTTGCTTGGGAAAAAGGAACATTGCTGAAATCACATGATAATGTAGAAAGGGAAGGGTGTAATGGCAAGACACTTCATGATCTGACCACACCTCACAGGGTGTGTCGTTCAGCCCTAAATAACAATAGATATTTAGACAAAAAAGGTTTTTTTAAAGTAAATTCTCCTTGGCTTAGAAAAACGTACAAAACTCACTCAGACCTTGCGATCTGGCATTTTTAACTGAAGAAAAACAAATTTTCAACTTTTCGTGACTTTTAGTCGTAAATTCTTGTGAAAAACAGATAGCAAGGTTAGGTAAGTTTTAGCTATCGATTTCTTGGCAAGGTCAGGAAGAAACTTCTAAAAGGCTTCCTTAGTAAGACTTCCCAGGTTTTTAGTTCTTTAATTGCCATAATGATCAAAGGCTAGGAAGCTAAAACAGCATATTTTGTCTGTAGTGCTATGGCTGAAAGACATAGGGTCAGGTCAGACTAATTTTACAAGCAAAACCAAAAATGTATACTGAAATCTCTTCTGAACATACCAGTTTGAAGCAACTGAGATCTGAAGCCTGCTTTCAATGATCTAATTTTTTTTTTACTTACTCGTAAGGCCTTCCTTGTCCATTTCCTTCAATCTTGAACATGTACCCGTTAACGTCACCGTCCATATGAAGTTTAATCTTCATTTCATCTTTCACGTCTTTTGTTGCAGTCTGCGGAATGTAAATAATTTTGGCGAAACTAGTCGATCAATGATCGGTCAAGAACTGGAAATAAGTTCGGTCGTGGGTAAAACAAACAATAAGAATTATTAATTCAAAAATACATTGTAAAATCTTTTCCTGTTCAGAACTTACCATAATGGTAGACTTGAAGTAAGATATAAACCTTACAGTTCTTGTTGTTTTCGATCTGCTCTCTTCCAAATCACCAGGGTGTATGGCAACTCGGCTTTGAGTTCGCTGCTATAAAACTGAATGTCACACCCGAAATTTACTTCAACCAATTACGATCCAGAAAGCTTTTGAAACAAAGCTAACATTATATAGTGCGCAGAACAATATGTCTATCATACCATGTCTAAAACCGATGCAGCATAATATCATTAACAGTGGGAGTAAAAAAACTGGGCGGGGTTAAACTTGCTGACCTTGTATCATCTTGTATACTTCCAGGTATACTTCTGTTAAATTACATCATTGTAGAGAAATGATATGGCAGCAAACAGTCATTTTCACAACCGATTTGTTAATTAAAACTTTCTTCGAACAAACAATTTTTGCACACGCAGAGCTACACGGGAGCAGTTCTGTTATGCTTTGGCTTATTTTACATTTATGCTTTTTCTTTTTGTAAAAAAAAAATGTTCCAGTCTGAAACGCCAGCAGTTTCTTGCCTCTTCAGGCTCTCTAAAGCGAAGCAATGTTGAAGTTTGTAAAGTCAGGCTATATTTGCTGCAACCAAACAATCGAGGGTCTTTTTGTTTCAGAGTTTATAACGACAAGAAAAAAAATACATCTGTCACAGCCAAATTTTATTTATTTATAATATTACTAATGACAATCTCTCGATCTTCAAAAGGTCCTCATTTTATGTTTTCGCTCTTTTTTCCGAACTTTCAGTACATCAGTGTTGCTTTTTTGCAGAGAGAGGCAGCACGTCTTTGAGTAGTCTGTTACATAACGTCTATTACATAACGCTTTTTGGCAAAAGAAAGGATTATTTTTTGCTAGCCCATTATCCATGTGATATCTTTAAGTTAAGACAGGTCACGAACTTAGTCGCCGATTGTAGTTGAATGAAGCGTTTATTTGAAAATTGAATCTGTTCACGGACGCACGCCACCGCGTGAATTTTTTAAAACTTGATAATTACAAAAGCACGCCGTAAGAAAGTCTAACTCGAAACGCAATTTGAAATAATTCTTTTTAACAATTATCTAGTAGCCTCCAGTATTTGGGGGATAAAATGTGAACAAATCATAAGTTTCCATACAAGTGCAAATATATCCGGATGGAACGGTCATCCCGAAATTGTAATCCTTCCGACCTGTAGATTTATTTATTTTTATTTTTATTTTTTATTTTTACAATTAGCACTTCTATCACTGTTTATTCGGTATCACGTGGCTTACACGCGTTATTTAATTTTCTTTTTTTTAGCACGTGCTCATTTAATGGGTGATTAAGCCGGCAGCAGATAGCCTGTTCCAGGCTCCGAGATAGTGGTGAAAAGTCGTTCAGTGAAAAGAAACGCGAAAAACGCGCGGGGGCTGGGGAGAGACACCGCCCCATTTCCAAAGTCGCGCGCGTCTTATTTTTAGCTTTGCTCATTTTAATACATCCTGATCCGCACTATACTATCTGAGAGTCTGGCACAGGCTAGCAGCAGAAGGCCACCAAATGAGATTGCCTAAAGACAAACTCAGACGGCACGAATTTGTTACACAGAATTTCGTGCCGTCCTCGTTTTTGCAATATTTGAGATATGTGATAATTTTTAAAACTTTTTAATATACTCGTATTTCTGGAGAGTGTAGTAGGGTTACCGGATATCTTCTGGGGTGTGTCACGAGCAAATTCACCTTCTTAGCGTCAGATTTCACGTGTAGTTTCACGTGACTTTTGATGAACTTTGTTGAAAACGTAGGGTGCCAGTGGGGTTAATAGTAGTTAACTGATAATTGGCCAAAAATTTTGTACTTAACTGAGAAATGAAAAGTTAACAGTTAAGTGACATCTTATTAATTATACTGAATACGATCATTGATGTTAATTAAAACAACAAAGGTTTGCAAACAAAAATGCTTTTTCAGGCTTTTTTTCTGTCCCGCTGATGACCAAGCACCAGGGCAGCACCCGGCAAATAGAAAGCGTCAATCATAGAGCTGGTCGTAACATCAAGTCTTTTTTCCCGTATAAGGATAGATTAGCTCGATCTCTTATGTCCAAGGTTGTCTACAAAACTGTTGCTGGGATTCTAGTGAAGCTAACATCAGTAAAACACAGCGTAAGTTACATGAAGTAACAACAACAACAACAATTAATAAAAACAATTTATTAAAAGATATTCCCATTTACATACATGGCATTGCCTATTTCTAAAAAAGGAAACAGTTAATTAATTGGTTATGTCACTTTGGAAATTACATGATAGTGTCTATAATTCAGCAAAATTTATGATTTTACAACAAAATCGTTAAAAAAGTTAATATATTTTTTAATGATTTTATCAAAAAATTTGTTTCGAAGCGTTTCATACAGAGTGCAAGAAAAGTGTTTGGGAGTCTTGGGTACAGTATATCTCCCTGTTTCCACTGCTCGTTTGCAACACATCTGTTCAACTCCAATGTTTTGGAGTGACGAACGATGAATGTCTTATCGGGTCCTTCCGAAACGTTTTTGTTTCTATTCCGCTTATATGCACCCCCCGGATATAAGCCCCCCACCCCAAACCCCTTATGAAGTTATATATAAGCCCAGGGATTTAACGTGAGCATGGAACGGTTATCCAAAATTTATAGCCTTTCTGAACTTTAGAAATTTCTTTTGCAATAAACGCTCTCATTATTTATTTCATTGGTTAACATTTGGTATTTTGATTAGGTATACGTGCTCAGTTAATAAGATCTTGTTATTGATTTCACAAAAACTAACGCCGACGGCTATTTAATTACAACTGAAAAAGAGTTTGAGATTAGTAATATGTGATGATTTAGTTTTAACATTTTTTTTTTAAATATAGGCATTTCTGGAGAGTGTATTGATTTAATCTTCTTAAGTCCGGCTAAACGTCTAATGCAAACACCTGCATGCCTTCAAATCAATAGATTCGGCGTTTTTACCTTTAAATGATTTTCTGAGTACATAGTAGTCTTTTATCCCCCAAATTACAATTTTGGCGACTCTTTTTAAGATATACTGCATACATATTCATCACATGAATGTTTAGAAAGGCGTAAGATACTGCCTCAGAAAGGTTATCACGTCTGCCTCTTTAAGCAAAGTTATAATGTATTGCGTATTACGATTATCTGAACCTTATCGATATTTACAGACATTTTTCCTCTAAAGTCAAACATACAAACGATCGTTACAGTCTTTGTAGACCTCTGTGGTGTCACAGTCTATGGACAGGTGCGATCTACGATGTGCGCAATTGCTCAGTCGGTGCCACAGGCGAAAGAGACAGGTCAAGGATACAGGTTCAATTTAAAATAAAGTGTTTTAACATTTCAAAAAATTGAAACAACTGACTTGAATTCCTCGGGTTTTCAAACAACGACACGTAACAGGAAGGCGGAGGTCATAGGTCACTCACAGGACGGTGAGAACACCGATTAGATATAAATTATTAGATAAGATTATATTGTTAATTACATACATTTCACCAGCAGAGTAAACGAAAAAAGAGCAGGTCAAAAATTTGACGTTTTCATAGAGTAAACCTTACTTTAATATTTCGGTCAAAAAACTAAAAGCTTCAATATGGCATCAAACCTCAATAAAACAAATGAATTGTTAGATTTTATGAAAGTACATAGCTTTTACAGAAGCTCTGTTCTGCTTTGGTTTGTGCATGAAATAATTTGTTCCAGTCTGAAATGTAAACTGTCTCCTTCCCTTTTTTTGCCATTTACTCACAGGTGGCCGAAAGTTTCGATTCAGTCTATTTCCTGTTTTAATCAAAAACGCCACTTGAAACAATGCTATTTTTAAGTTTGTAAAGTAGCTAAAATGACAACACTTGAGGCGTTTTTTGCTCCGTCGAGAGTTGAATAAGTTTAAAAATATATCTAAGTTCCAGCCAAATTCTATTACATTACTAATGACAATCTCTCGATCTCAAAAGATCCTCATATTATGTTTTCGTGGTTCACTTCCAACTTTATGACCCTTCTACATGTTTTTGTTGTTGTTGTTGTTGTTTTTTCTTCAAGACATTTATTACCCTAATAACAAAGAACTAATTAAAAAGAAACTACTTACAAAATTCCAAACAACCTTACTAACAGAAGGACAGAAATGGGTAAAAGTGTTACATGATACTTATATTCGTTACAGCCAAAAAACAGCCGCGCAATTCGTGAAAAGTGGCTTATTTTACAAATAGTTAATTTTTTTAGTAGTACTTAGTTATGTCGAAAAAAAGAGAAATTAACACTTATGACCTTTATACATGTTGCATTTTTTGCAGTGAAGCAGCAGTCTATGAGTAGTCTATTACTGTAACAATATATACGCAGAGAGGCAAAGAAGACTCATCGCTCTTTCTAGCCTATCATCCATGTGATATCTTGAAGTCAAAACAGGTCAATATTTTAGTCACCTATTGTAGTTGAATGAAGCGTGTATTTCAACATTGAATCTGTTCACGGACGTACCACCACTCGTTACAAATTTTTAAACAAACTGCATAATAACCTATATAACCTTCAGGAGACAAGACGGAAAGTTTTACTCGAAACGCAACAATCCTTTTTTCTCAAGAAATTCAGTTTTTCTCTTCAAACGTCCAATTGCAAACTAAAAAAACATCTGACTTCAAATCGGCAAATCCGGCTATATTTGCTGTTTTTAAATACAAGAATGTACAATACTCAACGGTATTTCTCGCCAAAATAGGTTTATGTCTGTTCTTAATATACCGTATATAAATATTCATGATAAAGGCGCCAGTTGAACGGTATCCCACACGGGATAAATCCGGCTAATATACTTATCCACTCAGGGTAAAATATGGACCGGAACAATTAGCCCTTGGACTGTTGAAACGTATGTGAATATAAAGCACTCAGTATCCAGCGTTTGAACTTACGGGGTATGATCAGTTTTATCAACCAGAGCCCAGTTGTTCAAAAGGTGCATGATAAATCTCTATCCAGTGGATAGTGCAATCGCTAGTCCTAATACTTATCCGCTGGATAGTGATTTGTCCAATGGATAGCTCTATCCAATGTTTTAACAAGCAGGGCCAGGCCTCAAGTTGTAAAACCAGTAAATTTGTTATGACGTCTTCTCCTTCAAAAAAGGTTATTGTATTGTATATTCATTTGACTATATTATGGATCAAACTCATGACCTACCAATGTATTGTATATTCACGACTGAATGAACCTTTACGACGGATACTCCCATAGAAATATACATTTTTCCCGATGGCAGGCCTTTGCTATGAGGAAACGACGCTTTTAAAATTCGTCATAAGTCAAATATTAGTACTATGGTGAATAAGGCGAACCAAGTCCTAGGTCTAATAAGACGGTCTGTTGGAACAGCTAATACAACAACTTTTTCATTGCTTTACAAAACATTGGTCAGACCACTTCTAGAGTATGCTGCTCCAGTCTGGAACCCATATCTTGTCAAAGATATTCATGCAATAGAGAGCGTGCAAAGACGCGCGTCAAGATTAGCTCTTAGGCAAAAAAGAGGTGATATGTCTTATGAAGAATTTGTGACACGTTACATTGGCCATCTTTGTCCAGTCGTAGGACATATTCCTCTCTTGTTGAATGTTATAAGATCGTGTTTGGCTTATCACACTTGGATTTTGAGGAATTCTTTCAATTCGCAAAAGTCAAATCCACTAGGGCAAATCACTCGTATAAGCTTTATTGTAAATTATCTAGAATCAACTGTTTTAAATATTCTTTTTTTAACAATGTAATTAGTTATTGGAACAATTTACCTAGTAATGTTGTTGAAGCCGGTACCCTTGAACTTTTTAAATGTAAACTCGAATCCTTTTTTAAGTTGTAATTTTTATTGTTTGTTTGTTGTTTTTAGGAGAGTTTTGTTCATAGGGTTAACCTCTAGACTCTCCCTTTCAAATTTATGTAGTTATATATGGGTTTGAATAAACATGTATGTTATGTTATGTTATGTTATGTTAAATGGTCTCACGTACTGTTTGTGCCGAAGCATGTGGAGAAATCTGATGAGTATCCGGTGTAACGTAAACAGCTGGAATATGTTTTTTAGGTCAAGAGTACAGGTTCTATTGAAAACATCATTACGGGGTTATTTGTTAGCTGAACGTGTTTTTTAATGACACGTTTTAGTCAGAGAGAGAGGCAGAGCCGGTTGAAGGGGATATCTCTCCGCCGTGCCAGTCACAGATAATTTAGAAAATCGATTATTTAAAGAGGCTAAAATGTCTCAAAAGAATCGAAACACGAATTTTAGAAGTAACCACAATGCATTCCAAAAACCAAGGGAAGAAATTAACTGATATGTTGACAGTATTAAAGAAAAAAGTCACTCTCCAAGTCCGCAGAAAAACACATTCAAACAAGCCGAACAAACAAAACAAATGAACCTGCACTAAGCCCGAATTTTGCAACAAGTTTAATTCCCAGCTACAGTATTCTTATTGTATTTGTTTACAAGTGACTTTAACAAACTCTATCTCTATATATGATGAAATCTTGCAAAAGTAAGAAAGAAAAAAAAAGACAAAAGCTTATTTCGTTTTACTTGAACTCTACAGCTATATATACTCTAACCATTCCAGAAACGAATTCTTGAATGCAAAGTAACAAAACTTATTCCGAGCACATGCCTTAAAAACAGAAAGACTTTTTTTCTCTTCGCCCTTTAAGCCTTTTATTTATTTGGCGGCCTTAGCTGGAAACGGAGAATATCGAGCAGCAGCCTTCTCATACAACACAACCTGGTTGTAATTATCTTTTTGCTCCAAAATCTCAATGCGATGGTCTATGTAGTGATATTTCGGCAACTGAATACCAGGCTTCTTAGCTCTGCAAAAAAGAAAAGAACTGAGATCAGCACAAAACAGTACATCATCAGGTTGCGCGAACATGTATCTTAGCCGAATACTAAAATTACAAGTTAACGGCTTAATTCCGATGTCTTGATGGAATTTTTTGCTTATTCCTTATGTAGAATAACTAAATAAAGCGCTTTGCAAAAGTCAGGAGCAGTTAATTCAGTTGAAATGAAACATTAGTCTTTCCTCGAAATTTCTACTAAAGCCCATCACATCCGAGCATACCATTTAGGAATAAACTGATCTGGCTGGATAGCCCTGATTAATAGTGTATTTCTCCTTAGGATTGGACTAGTCTGGCCAGCCAGTTCTGACAAATGATAAGCGCCTTAAGATAAAATGCGCGCTCTGATTAGCTGCAGGCTTGTTAATTGGCACTGAGGGAATATAAAATTATAGTTGAAATGTCAGACAAGATTTTGCTGCGTGGGCGATTATCCCTTATTAATAAGCACGTACCAATTGGAAAAGTTTTAGGAGATGGAAACTCTAGTAATCTAACTGTCTTATTTATCAATTTCCTCAACTGCTTAAGGACGATATTTTCAAATATGCCGCATCAATTTTTTTTCTGCTTAAGGTGACGTCTTCAGAAGGATACCCAACTCCAAACTGCCTTTTTCTGCAAGATATCTACTTCAAGGAACACTGAATATTGCTTAGAAATCTCGAAATGACCCAAACGTTCCCCTAAGACATCTGAACACTGGATTAATAGTTGTACGGCAGCTCCAAATTAACCAAACAGACTTCTAAAGCAGAAAGAAATCCATTTAAGACACTAATTTTTAGCAAGAAAAATTCGCATTTTGATAACATCTTTTTTTTGCAAAACAAGTGGTACATCAGTATGCAAGCTCAAAAAACGTTCTCTATTGCTTGTGTTAGATTCATCAGAATACTTAAGACGTAAACACTTACTTGTAAGTGCTTTTGAAGTCACATCGGTGATGGCTACCATCCTCAAGCAACAGGGCCATGTTAACATCACCCTTCAGCTCCCCACCACACATGTACATCATCTCAGTGGATGGCTCCCATTTCACAGTCTTCTTCTGCATAACTGGACCATTGGGAGGAAAGCCCATCCCATTGAAGACAATCTTATATTCAAAACAGCCCGCTTTCGTATACCGTATATAAATATTCATGATAAAGGCGCCAGTTGAACGGTATCCCACACGGGATAAATCCGGCTAATATACTTATCCACTCAGGGTAAAATATGGACCGGAACAATTAGCCCTTGGACTGTTGAAACATGTGTGAACATAAAGCACTATGCAGAGTTTGAACTTACCGAGGTATCAGTTTTATCAACCAGAGCCCAGTTGTTCAAAAGGTGCATGATAAATCTCTATCCAGTGGATAGTGCAATCGCTTAAGTTCTAATACTTATCCACTGGTTAGTGATTTGTCCGATGGATAGCTCTATCCAATGTTTTAACATCCAGGGCCAGGCCTTAAGTTGCAAAACCGGTAAAAATGTTATGACGTCTTCTCCTTCAAAAAAGGTTATTGTATTGTATAATTATTGACTATATTGTGGATCAAACTCATGACCTACCTACTGCATTGTATATTCACGACTGAATGAACCTTTACGACGGATACTCCCATAGAAATATACATTTTTCCCGATGGCTGAGGCCTTTGCTATGAGGGAACCACACTTTTAAAATTCCTCATAAGTCAAATGGTCTCACGTACGGTTTGTGACGAATGATGTGGAGAAATCTGATGAGTAACCAGTGTAACGTAAGCAGCTGGAATATGTTTTTTAGGTCAAGAGTACAGGTTCTGTTGAAAACATCATTACAGGGTTATTTGTTAGCTGAACGTGTTTTTTAATGACACGTTTTAGTCAGAGAGAGAGGCAGAGCCGGTTGAAGATAAATATCTCTCCGCCGTGCCAGTAACAGATAATTTAGGAAATCGATTATTTAAAGCGGCTAAAATGTCTCAAAAGAATCGAAACAAGATTTTTAGAAGCAACCACAATGCATTCCAAAAACCAAGGGAAGAAATTAACTGATTTGTTGACAGTATTAACGAAAAAAGTCACTCTCCAAGTCCGCAGAAAAACACATTCAAACAAGCCGAACAAACAAAACAAATGAACCTCAACAAAGCCCGAATTCTGCAACAAGTTTAATTCCCAGCTACAGTATTTTTATTGTATTTGTTTAGAAGTGAGTTTAACAAACTCTATCCCTATGATGAAATCTTGCAAAAGTAAGAAAAAAAAAAGACAAATAAAGCTTATTTTGTTTTACTTGAACTCTACAGCTATATATACTCTAACCAATCCAGAAACGAATTCTTGAATGCAACAAAACTTATTCCGAGCACATGCCTTAAACACAGAAAGACTTTTTTTCTCTTCGCCCTTTAAGCCTTTTATTTATTTGGCGGCCTTAACTGGAAACGGAGAATATCGAGCAGCAGCCTTCTCATACAGCACAACCTGGTTGTAATTATCTTTTTGCTCCAAAATCTCAATGCGATGGTCTATGTAGTGATATTTCGGCAACTGAATACCAGGCTTCTTAGCTCTGCAAAAAAGAAAAGAACTGAGATCAGCACAAAACAGTACATCATCAGGTTGCGCGAACATGTATCTTAGCCGAATACTAAAATTACAAGTTAACGGCTTAATTCCGATGTCTTGATGGAATTTTTTGCTTATTCCTTATGTAGAATAACTAAATAAAGCGCTTTGCAAAAGTCAGGAGCAGTTAATTCAGTTGAAATGAAACATTAGTCTTTCCTCGAAATTTCTACTAAAGCCCATCACATCCGAGCATACCATTTAGGAATAAACTGATCTGGCTGGATAGCCCTGATTAATAGTGTATTTCTCCTTAGGATTGGACTAGTCTGGCCAGCCAGTTCTGACAAATGATAAGCGCCTTAAGATAAAATGCGCGCTCTGATTAGCTGCAGGCTTGTTAATTGGCACTGAGGGAATATAAAATTATAGTTGAAATGTCAGACAAGATTTTGCTGCGTGGGCGATTATCCCTTATTAATAAGCACGTACCAATTGGAAAAGTTTTAGGAGATGGAAACTCTAGTAATCTAACTGTCTTATTTATCAATTTCCTCAACTGCTTAAGGACGATATTTTCAAATATGCCGCATCAATTTTTTTTCTGCTTAAGGTGACGTCTTCAGAAGGATACCCAACTCCAAACTGCCTTTTTCTGCAAGATATCTACTTCAAGGAACACTGAATATTGCTTAGAAATCTCGAAATGACCCAAACGTTCCCCTAAGACATCTGAACACTGGATTAATAGTTGTACGGCAGCTCCAAATTAACCAAACAGACTTCTAAAGCAGAAAGAAATCCATTTAAGACACTAATTTTTAGCAAGAAAAATTCGCATTTTGATAACATCTTTTTTTTGCAAAACAAGTGGTACATCAGTATGCAAGCTCAAAAAACGTTCTCTATTGCTTGTGTTAGATTCATCAGAATACTTAAGACGTAAACACTTACTTGTAAGTGCTTTTGAAGTCACATCGGTGATGGCTACCATCCTCAAGCAACAGGGCCATGTTAACATCACCCTTCAGCTCCCCACCACACATGTACATCATCTCAGTGGATGGCTCCCATTTCACAGTCTTCTTCTGCATAACTGGACCATTGGGAGGAAAGCCCATCCCATTGAAGACAATCTTATATTCAAAACAGCCCGCTTTCGGCAAGCTGATGAAAGAAGGGCGAGATTTACTATTAAGTGTACGCGACAATGTGAAGATACCAAAAACATTCTTAGCAACTTATATATGTACAGCATAAATAAAAGATAAAAATTTGATGTTTCTTTTTTCCTTTTTTTTTCCTCTTTACGAGCACTAGTTTGAAAAAGAGCCTTACAACTCTAGTTTAAACATTTTTTTAATCAATGACACTATCCCGGGCAGTAATTGCAAAGCATGAAGGCGATAGAAAAGCTAAAAACGATAGTTTCAACTGGTCGAAACTACGATTTAGACCGCAAAAAAATTATATGAAAGCTAGATGAAAACGGCGGAGGACTGCAACGACTTAAAAGACTTAAGTACTGAGTTCTGCAGGTTTTACATTTTACTAACCTGATGACGCTTTTAACTTCACATTTGGCGCCGTCTTCAAATTCCATGGTTCTTTCCCAGGAATACCCATCAGGAAAAGTCTGTTTGAAATAGTCTGGTATGTCTGGTGGGTATTGGGTAAATACCCTGTTGCCGTACTCGAACGCTGCTGTGAGAATATCGAAAGCGAAAGGAAGAGGTCCACCATTTGTAACTGTAAGATTTATAGTTTGTACTCCCCTAAAACAACATGAACGACAAATCAAATATTAGTAAGAAAACGTAGAATTTATATACAACGCACATACCACCGCAATTTTGCCCAGTTCTTATCAACGTAAGGTAATCTTTATTTCGCTTATGAAGGGCCATAACTCAAGGTTTCAAAACCGCTAAAAGGAACTTCAGTTTCCATGGTTACATCGTGAGCTTTCATATTATATCCTAAAACACCGTATTGTCTGAGTAAATGACTTTCTTGTTTATATAACTCAGTATTTGATACGGAGTCAGTCCTACTGCTTGCTTTGGAAAAAGCAACATGGCTGAAATGACATAATCATGAAGAAAAGGAGGGGTGAAATGGCAAGACACTTCATGATCTGACCACACCTCACAGGGTGTGTCGTTCAACCCTAAATAACAATAGATATTGAGACAAAAAAGGTTTTTTTTCTAATTAAATTCTTCTTGGTTTAGAAAAACGCACAAAACTCACTCAGACCTTGCTATCTGGCCTTGTTAACTGAAGAAAAACAAAACTGTTAGTCGTAAATTCTTGGGAAAAATAGATGGCAAGGTTAGGTAAGTTTTAGCTATCGATTTCTTGGCAAGGTCAGGAAGAAACTTCGTAAAAGGCTTCCTTACTATGACTTTCGTAGGTTACTTAGTTCTTTGCCATGACGATCAAAGGCTAGGAAGCTAAAACAGCATATTTTGTCTGCAGTGCTATGGCTGAAAGACATAGGGTCAGGTGAGACTAATTTTGGTGGTTAATCTCTTACACACAAGCAAAACCAAAAATGTATACTGAAATCTCTTCTGAACATACCAGTTTGAAGCAATGAGGTCTGAAGCCTGCTTCAGTGATTTAACTTTTTTTACTTACTCGTAAGGCCTTCCTTGTCCATTTCCTTCAATCTTGAACTTGTACCCGTTAACGTCACCGTCCATATGAAGTTTAATCTTCATTTCATCTTTCACGTCTTTTGTTGCAGTCTGCGGAATGTAAATAATTTTGGCGAAACTAGTCGATCAATGATCGGTCAAGAACTGGAAGTAAAGTTGAGTAGTGAGTACAACAAACAATAAGAATTAATAAAATACACTGTAAAACCTTTTCCTGTCCAGAACTTACCATAATGGCAGACTTGAAGTAAGATATAAACCTGACAGCTCTTGTTGGTTTCGATCTGCTCCCTTCCAAATCACCAGTGCGAATGGCAACTCGACTTTGAGTGTGCTGCTATAAAACTGAATGTCACACCCGAAATTTACTTCAACCAATCACGATCCAGAATGCTTTTGAAGCAAAGCTAACATTATATAGTGGGCAGAACAATATGTCTATTATAATATCATGTCTAAAACCGATGCAGCATGAATATCATCAACAGTGAGAGTAAAAAAACTGGGTGGGGTTAAACTTGCTGACCTCGTATCATCTTCTGTGCTTCAGTTAAATTACATAATTGTAGAGAAACGATATGGCAGCAAACAGTCATTTTCACAACCGATTTGTAAAAACTTGCTTCGAACAAACAATTAGAATTTGTACACGCAGAAATACATATATAGCTTTTGCAGGAGCAGTCCTGTTCTGCTTTGGCTTATTTTAAGTAATGCTTTTCTTTTTTTTGAAAAAATTTCTCCGGTCTGAAATGCCAGCAGTTCCCACGCCCCCTTATCTACTTATCAACAGACGGCACGAAGATGCAGACGGTTTTCATTTCGTTTCTCTAAAGCAATGCTATTTTAAAGATGGTAAAGTCAAGCTATAATCGCAACCAAACACTCGAGGCTCTTTTAATTTTGTTTTAGTTTTATAACAAGTACAAAAAAAAATACATCTGTCGCATTATACAGTAATTACTAATGACAATCTCACGATCTTCGAAAGGTCCTCATTTTATGTTTTCGCTCTTTTTTCCGAACTTTATACATCAGCGTTGCGTGTTTGCAGAGCGGAGAAGCAGCATGAGTAGTCTGTTACGTAATGTCTATTACATAACCCTTTGTAGCAGAAGAAAGGCTAATTTTCTGCTAGCCCAATAACCATGTGATATCTTAAAGTCAAGACAGGTCAAGATTTTAATGAATGAAGCGTTGATTTGAAAATTGAATCTGTTCACGGACTTGCCGTCACTCGTGGCAAATGTTTGAACAACCTGCATAATAAATAAGTACTTAGGCAGGCGACAAGAAAGTCGAACTCGAAACGCAATTTACAATGACTGTTTTTAACCGAATTCTAAGTTTTGGTGATAACATGCGTCCATCCCTTATTTTGTCTATCGTGTAATCTACGATTTGCGCAGTTGCTCTGTCGGTACCACAGGCGAAAGAGACAGGTCAAGGGTACAGGTTCAGTTTAAAATAAAGTGTTTTTAATTAACATTTCAAAGATTGAAAAAAACTGAATTGAATTCCTCGGGTTTTCAAACAATGAGACAGGAAGACGGAGGTCATAGATTACTCACAAGACGGTGAGAACACCCATTAGATAATAGATATGATTATGTTGTGTATAAAGAGCTGAAATAAGGTTGAAAACACATCTATCTTCACAGCCAAATTCTTTACGAATGACAATCTCTCGATCTCGAAGGGTCCAAATTATATTTTTTCGCGGTTTTTCAACTTCACCCCTGACATGTTGCGTTTTTGCAGAGAGAAGCAGCATGAGTAGTCTATTACATAACGTCTATTACTTAACGCTAGGAGGCAAAAGAAAGTATTTTTCTACTAGCCGATTATCCATGTGATATCTTAAAGTAAAGACAGGTCAAGAGGTTAGTCGCCGATACATAACGTCTATTACTTAACGCTATAAAATATCAGGCAAAAGAAAGTATTTTTCTACTAGCCCATTATCCATGTGATATCTGTAAGTTAAGACAGGTCACAAACTTAGTCGCCGATTGTAGTTGAATGAAGCGTTTATTTGAAAATTGAATCTGTTCACGGACGCACGCCACTGGGTGCACTTTTTAAAACTTCATAATAACTAAAGCACGCCGTAAGAAAGTCAAACTCAAAACACAATTTAAAATAATTCTTTTAAACAATTATCTACAGATGTAGCAGCCTCCGAGTATTTTGGAGTGAAAAAATTGGTGCAGAAAGACTTCGAAAATATATCCGGATGGAACGGTCATCCAGAAATCTTTCGAATTGTAGATTTTTTTTCTCTACAACTAGCACTTCTATCACTGTTTTATTCGGCATTGGCTTACATTTTAGTTTAGATTCAAACCACGCGCTATTTTAACTTTTTTTTTAGTACGTGCTCATTTAACGGGTGATTAAGCCGGCAGCTTAGAAGACCGCCCGATGAGATTGCCTAAAGACAAACTCAGACGACATGAATTTGAAACACAACTTCGTGCCGTCTGCGTTTTTGCAATATTTGAGATATGTGATAATTTTAACTTTTTGATACAGGTATTTCTGGAGAGTGTAATAAGGTTACCGGATACCTTCTAGGGTGTGTCACGGCCAAATTCACCATCTGAGCGTCAGATTTCAAATGTAGTTTCACGTGACGTTTGATGAACTTTGTTGTAAACAGATCCAAACAAACCCCGAAAGTTGGGACATCCGTTCCTGCCATACCTTGTACTTGTACGAACTACGAGTCGCTATTTTAAGATCGCGTTTATTTATAAATTTTATTTCCCTTTCGCTGTTTGAAACTCAAAAAGCTTAAGGTTCAAAAGAAGAATCAGAGCAGAAGAATCAGAGCGATTTTAAGGTCAAAGAGCATGGCAGAACTGCATGAACGAGGAGGAGTGCTTGTAGTCGAAATTCCCGCCTCAACAGCTAAAATGGTTTTAATATTGGCACTTCGAAAGAGATAAAACCGGTGATGTGGGCAAATTTCTTAATACATACATAATTCACATTTCAAAATTCATGATCTTCAATCCATTTTCGCAATAAAGACCGTTTGGCTATTGGTTGTTTGACATTATATTTTCAATTGTCCGGCAAACAGGCCTAGGACTCGACAATTTTGATGACGGTTATGTTGATTATTTACAAACTGCTAAGTTGAATCAAGAGGCTGTTCACATATCTGTTGCAAAAAAGTGTAGGCTTCTGTGAACATGTACTGGCTTTGTATTTCATCGTGTTGCCTGCGTGCAGACGTCTCCTATTTCCTCTGTTGCACGCCGAAAAGGGACGTCTGCGTAACGCCCTCACGTGTTCTAGCGTCCCACTGGCAGGGTATTCTATTTCGTATACTGATTGTGAAATAATATCCGGCTAGAAATAAGAGTTGACAGGCCAAACACAACATCAAAACCTCGTGATAATGCACCATAATGCACCATAATGCGAAACGTGACCTTGAGAGTCTGCTTGAACAGAGGTTTTTCTTCTTTTCTCTCGCGCGCGAAGGTTACTAGCACTATACTGAGTAATCATTTCCTGTGGTTTATGCTTCTGTGGCCATGGGTGTTCCTGATAGGATTTGATTTCAGATGCAGTTGTAAAGTGTTTAAATTTTCTTTGACCTCTGTTTGTTACGGCTAAATAACGATTTTTGTTTCTTTGGTTGGCTTTCTCCGAAATGCCTTTCTAGTGCGAAGTCCACGCCGCTTTTGTAGTTTTCTCAGTGTTTACAAGTATGATTTGATGTGTCATGCACAGTAAATTGTAAAGAAACTATTTCCTCGCACACACGTTAAATTTTCCGCGGCCTTGCACAAGATTTCGAACGGTCTGTACACAATGGCACATGTTTTGATTTGTTTTGGCTGGAAAACCCCGATTACGTAAATCACCGCATACCGTGGGCGCGATCCATTCAACCAAAATTTCCGGAAATTTCGGTCCAAAACTCAATGGATCGGTTCGGTCCAACCGGAAAAGTTTCGAAAAAACAGGTCCACCTTTTGAGGTGGTCCTCTTTTCCCGGTCGGACCGGTCTGAATTTTGGTTGAATGGATCGCGCCCCGTATCAGACCAGATTCGATAACAACCAATCAGCGTTAAGTCAAACAATGCGCACTGTGTGTCAGCCTATCAGAGCATGTTCCCAAGATCTTGGGAACCCAGCGGGACGCTGGAACACGATTAGCGACGGCGTTACGCAGACGTCCCTTTTCCGCGTGCAATAAAGGAAATAGGAGACGTCTGCACGCAGGCAATTAATCGTGTAGACACAAACAGAGGCAGTGTACTCTGGCAGGCAAGATAAGTATGAGCTTTACTTACATTTAAGCGTATAAAAGGCGGTCGAGACGAAAATATAAGCACACAGCAGTATCATGAATTATAAGTGTGTCTGGATTGTAAGTTTCACTGATTTTTTTTCAAGTTTAGATCCACCGGGCAAAACCATTCTTTCAACAGCAGAGGACACAAATGAGAGAAGATTTCCACGCTCTAGTTGAAACTCCTTGTTGCGGCGAATATTTTTTTCTATTTTGCCACACACGAGGCAGTTAAAACTGTTTGTCCTGATCTTCTGCTTTGACATTTTGAACCTTAAACTATTCGATTTTGAAACCGAGAAAGGTAAGGAAAATAAATAAGTTATCGCAAACTTGAAACAGCGATTCGTTGTTGGTACGAGAGTATGTGGGAGAGAACAGATGTCCGAACTTTCAGGGTTTGTTTACAACAGAGGTTATCAAAAGTCACGTGAAACTACACGTGAAATCTGACGCTCAAAAGGTGTCCCCTTTGAGAGGAAAATATAAGTCGAGAAAAAGAAGAGTTAACTGAACTTGCTGACCTTGTATCATCTTGTATGCTTGAGTCAAATTACATGTAGACGAGAGCCATATGGTTGCAAACAGTCATTTTCACACCCGAACTGAAAAAACTTGCCTCTAACGAACAAACTATTAGATTTTGTACACGCGGGAAACATAACTTTTAGAACAGGAGCAGCTCTGTTCTACTTTTACTTTTTCTCCTTTTTGAAAGTAAATTTGTTCCAGACTGAAATGCCACCAGTCTCCACGCCCCTTTATCTACTTTTCCACAAGGGGCACTAAGATTCA